CTTAAGAACAAAGCCCAGAGCTAAATGCCCAAATGCAGTTTATTCCAGGTAAAAATGTTGAGGCTTAAAATAACAGGGCTTAAACAAGAAGTGTGCATTAGGAAGCATAGGCATAAGACCCTGAATGAGTGCATGTTTTAGACCAGTGATATAGGGAATGGGTCTCCTAAATATGGACAAGGAAAACATATTAAAACCTCTCTGGTCTACTTTATTCATATAAGAAAGAACAGTTAATCTTGTTTATTTTTTAACTATGAAGCCACAGTAATAAACTGTTCATTCAGTACAAGGAAAGGAAGGATTGCATCCCAGTAGTAATGGAGATTGAAGGAAGTTCTATCTCAGAGTCCATCAACTTGTTTGTTGTTGTATTTTGTGGTGTGTTTTTTTTCTTCTTCTCTCATTAATTTGGGATTTTTATTTTTATCTGTATATTATGAATACTGTTCAGTATAAAGTGCTAATGGTAACTTCTTTTCCCCCCAATCTCTCCCCTTCAGATACGTGTGGTCAGGCTTACTGGTCGTCCTTGGAATATTTCTTAATGTTTACAGTAAGAATATGGATAAAATCAAACTGCCTTCACTGTATGGTATTTGGAAAAAAAATGTGGAAGAAAGAAAAACAAGGACGTTGTCACAAACTGTATAGAGAGTGGTTTATGCCATGTCTAGACTCTGACTTCCTGTTCTATTGGAACAATCTTCAACTGATTCACTTTCCAAAGGGAACATTATTAAAACCAAAGGAGCTGAAGGCGTAGTATCTGCTTGCAGATAGCTGGAAATGCACATTTTTGTGAGCCCTTTCTCCAGAGCACTTGAATTCATCATGAGAGGCATTGCAGGCCATTGACAGTTGGCATTACCAGGCAATGAAGGACAGCAGCTCCTGGCAAACTGCTGAGAAGCTGCACTCCCAATGTGACACAGTAGAAGACTTACTTGGGCATTGTAATGATATTGGCCCTGTGTCTGATTCCAGATTAGTGTTTCTTAGTCTTCGTTAATTGTCTGGCTGAGGTAATTTAAATGTAATACTGTATTCACATTTAATGGAACCTAATCAGCAACTGCTCGACCAAATTGCGGTTTTGAAGGTGCAAGGTTTAGAATATGGTATGTTGTCACGTTAAATAAAAACGTTGTTTTTGTTTTTTTTTTAATAAGTTACTGATCAGGTCATCACAAAATTTATTTATTGTCATAATTTTCATTTTAATGGAAATTTTAAGGCGTCATTTCACTTGGTGGTCATTGCTTGCAAGTAATGAAAATAAGACTGTTTGAGCAGTCATCACCTGTGCTTTTACAACAGTGGAAGTGGACTTTGGACATCAGCTAGCTGAGAAGAGAGAATGACAGTGTAATGATTGAAACAGCAGTGTAAGAATTTGTCATTTGCTTATTCTGTGGTGAAGCAACAAACTTTTCGTGGCCTATGGCACTCTTTGTCAAAGTGGTGTGAAGAGATAGGAAAGAAGGTTCCCTGAATCATTATCATCAAATCAGAACTCTCTATTTTCAGTATTGGCCTAAAGAATAACAGCATCTGATACTGTATTTAAGGTATGTATTGTCAGTCTCTGTGTGGTAATGAATTTAAGAAGGTTAGGGTGCAGACTGCAATTTTCTTCATTTTATGATAGGAGGAGACAGTTTATTTCCAGTTTTCATTGTGAATTTGGGAAGATTGAGTCCATTTCTCCCTCCAGCTTTTGTTTTCAATTCATTTTGAATCACTTGCCTTCTCTTTCGTTTTATGTGTGTAACACTGGCACTTTAAAAATACAGATCACTTTACAGTTGATTGTTCTCACACAGTCATGGTAGTTCTTGTTGTCGCACCCCTCACGTGCTGTAAGCTTGTTTTGTGTTGTTTCATAAGAAATTGATGGCTTATTCCACTTAGACAACTGCAATTTTGATAATAGAACTGTGAGACCAGAAAGAATGTACAAAGAACTGAAAAACTACGCAGGATGTTTTTGCCTTCTGCCAAAAATGTTTGTGAAAGTACACAAAATGTGCATGCAAAATGTTTGCCAGACATTTGGGAAGAATTGCTGTTCCAAGGAGCTTGTAATCAAAGCACGGATCTAAAAATGTGCCTTAAATTTTGCTTACTGACTTGGTAGCCAGCATATGTCATATTAGGTGTGGTATAAAATAGAGCATGGACTTACACAGCTGTGTTAGCATGATGGGACAAATAGGTGGAGTGCGGAGCAGCAGTAACAAATGTGTACTGTTTCAAATGCTCAGGCTACTGTATGTCAGCAAAGCTCTTCAGCCCATACACACACATTGTCAGCAAGTCACGAGCTTTCATTGTCAGTGCAACAATGTTTTTTTTTTTTAATTCCTGGCTGCTACATTATTTATTGTGTCCTGGGTTAGGTGGAGAGGTGTGAATTTGACATATATGCACCCTGATATAAAAAGAGGAAGGACCTGCCGTAGTTATCAGCAGTGTCCATACTGCAGTCGAAGTTGTGTGTAAGACTTGAAAAAGGGTTACAACTTCAGGTTTGGTGGAAGAGTGGATTTTGGACCAAGTCTTTTCCCCCAGGCTCCTTTATTCCCGTGCATTCTTTTCCCTAAATCAAGTTGCTCTTTGCAGTGGGGTTATTTGTCAGGCTTAAAAAAGAGGTGTCTTTTGAACCAGTGAAAAGGAAGCAATGACAGAACATTGGCAACCCAGATCATCTTCATGGAACTTTGCATTTAGCATTTGAGCATCAGTTCGGACAGTATTTCAGTCTCAGTTTTGCCATCAGTAAACTGTCTGTTACTAAACGTTACTGAACTTCCAGAAACCAAATTATGCGAAAGCTACCATACGTATATAAAGTCAAAAGAAACATAATTAATTTGCTATCTGTTTTCTATAAATACTTGAGAAATCACTCCCAAAGTTTCTCATAGGAATTAGGATATCTTACATAGCTTGCAGAACTTCTGTCAAACTGACCTGCTGAGTTCCATTGCTAAACCGAGTCCCATCGTGCCACTTCCACACATCTGATAATGCAGTTTTGTCTTTGTTGGAGTGCATCAAGTTCACAATTGGCCTTTTAACGTTGGCCTTGTAATTTATTCTGTTGTGTATGAGACTGACTGACTGGAGCCCACATCATGGGAAGTTTGAGTGGTATTTTTTTAACTATAGAAAAGGGTTTTTTAAATTCTTTTACAGGTGCTTGGTACTTTGAAATCTGACTGTGTAGACAAATGCTAGATTTAGTGTTCACAGCATATATTTAGGAGTCAGGTTTTTGTTATCGTGAGTGTGAATTCAGCAATTGTTACTCAGCAATTGTTGGAGGGAAGATTTAGGTTGGATGCCAGGGGGAAGTTCTTTATTATGAGAGTGGTGAGATGCTGGAACAGCTGCCCAGAGAGGTTGTGGATGCCCCGTCCCTGGAGGTGTTCAAGGCCAGGTTGGATGGGGCCCTGGGCAGCCTGGTCTGGTATTGAATGGGGAGGTTGGTGGCCCTGCATGTGGCAGGGGGTTGGAGATTCATTCATTCCTTGAGGTCCCTTCCAACCCTGACTATTCTGTGATTCTGTAACAATATGTAAGAAAGATAAAGAAGTTGCTTACTGAAATGAGAGGAGCTCGTAATTTGCCACTTGTCATGATCTGTGCAGTTTCATGCTTTTGTTGAGATGTTAAGAAAATCTTCCTTGCAGTGAATTGCTGTAATTTTTTTAATGAGCTTTACAGTACATGCCAGTAAGAGAACCTGACAAGCCTCAAAGTGTTATTACAGAATTTTGATTTAGGATATTCTGTACTGTGTATATCTATTATTTTATGTTGTCTGTGAAAAACAAGTAAGGGCTTGTTTGCAAAGTAACTGTAAGTTCTTTATTTTTTCATGGGGAGAGCACTGACATTGGGGTGTTGCTGACTTTTCTTGCTGTTGCTATGTAGGCTAATTGAAATAACTTGCGATTTCAGGTTAGTTAGCTCCTGGACTCTAGTTTACAGTAGGCATTATGAAACTACAGAAGATTGATTCTGTCACCATAAAATTTACTGTCTAAAGTAAATTGTGAACTGGTTGTTTGCTATTCTTATGCTACGCATCTTTCTCCTCTTTGCACAAAAAATGTGTTACAAGGTAGCGCTGTGAGGCTGAAGGTCACACCAAAATGTGGGGCAGTGTTTCTGATGTCAGCTATCTGCTACTGTGATACCATCCACTTCTGCCTCCTTCGTTGCACTGAGGGAGCTCTAATTTCCTGAATTGGTATGCATTTGCAGTTGCTTTCACATTACATTTTGCATTTATTTGGTACACTTGAATAGAAAAGTAATTGACTGTGCAATGGATTTCTTCCGTATTTCACTAGATCAGTACCATCAAACTGCTAATTATTCTAATATTAATATATATAAATGGTGTAGAACTAATGCTCAGAACCCTTTCCTAAACCTACAGTGTTTCCTGATACTGCATTTGACTGCTGGGGGTTTTTGGTTGTTTTCTTTTTAACCTCTGCTGTGCTATGAATTTACCAAGTACTTTTAAGACTTGGACATACAGCATTCCTGTCTGTTGTCCTTACTTTCCCAGTTGTCTGTCTGTTTTCTAGATGCTCTTTACCTTTTTGCACGCTGTTTTGATGCACTGTGGGTTGTTTCAGCTTTCTGTTCCTGCTTTGAGAACTGCCATCATACTACTACAAATCCGTCCTGTTTCAGATCTGTTATGACAGCCTGGTCAATTCTTTTAAATCCTTTTTCTCCCTGAACCTCTTACAGATTCCATTATTTTGGAAAGGTCTTTCCAATTGCATTTATGGGTTAACTTCTTGACCTCATTCCATCTTCCCATCTTCCAGGAAAATCTCTCTTCTCATTAGCTTGCCTTTGAGGACAGAGGAGATAAATTAAGTCTTTTTTTTTTTTCTCCTCTTTTCTTTTTTGGGTAATAAGTGCATTCCTTTCTAACCTTTAATGTTTCTTTCTACCTCCCATGTTTCCAGGCACAAACAAGCCCTTATCTTACATTTGGCCACTGCTTGTTCAATCATGGAAACTTTTTGGACTGTTTACTGTTCTGGAAAGTGTACAGAATTGTAAGTATATTCCAGAGGGCAGGAAATAATAAGAAAGCTAAACTTCACAAGATAGGGAAGCAGTGAAATGAATTCACACCTCTGTTTTCTAGAGGGGTTTTATGTATGGTACAGGAACATATTCAGAAACTTGGAGAAAGATTTTGTTTACAATTTCCCTGTTTTAAAAAAAAAAAATCTATATTATATATTCTATATACTTAATATAAAAATTCTGATTATTCAAGCTGTATACATTAATATACATTATATATGTTATATACATTATATACATTAATTTTAGACTCGCCATGAGGCAGAAAAATCTTCTCTCTGTTTCACTGATGAAGCAGAGATGGTATCTTGTCCATAGTTGTCTTAGTGCTAAGTCTGGGGAGAACAGGGAGTAGATTTTAATACTCTCAGTTGCTCTATTTATACCCCAAGTCCCACAGAGCCCTTCCATACCAGAGATGGGTGAAGTGGCACCATTAGTTCTGTTTCACACCAGTGTTTGAGATCTTAAATTGTTTCTACTTGCTGTTCTTTGCCACTATAATTTAGAGTGAAAGTAAGGGAGATATGAAATAGGCTTTTTGCATTTTTGTTTAAAGCTTCTTTGCATTATGTGCATTGGTACTGATTTTTTGTTTGCTCAGTTTCCCACAGTCAGTGCTATGGAAACAAACCAGAGAGAAGCAGTAGTTGAAAGTGAAGGGTATTTTGCTGCTTCTGCATGTGGCTGGTTTGAATGTTGCCCATTTTGCTACAGGTCAAATTCTGCTGCCATTTGAAAGCTAAAAAAGAAACTAAGCAGAATAAAAAAGGACACATAGTTGCAGATAAGTTACTCACGCCCATCTTAGCCTTAATTTCCATTATCAAGTCCAGCTAAACTGTTCATCTCATGAGTGAAACAGTGATAGCAACAGGAATTGTACATATCCCTTCTGTAACTCAAAGCATAGCTTAAAAGTTAAAAGTACTCTTTTGGAAGAGAGTTGAGGGGGAGGCATGGCTCTTGACTACTGGGACTGAGAAGAGAAAAGCCACATTATCCAGTGGAAAACAGTGTTGTTGAGAGATAAATGGCTTCTGTGCTGCTCTCTGTGTCTTTAAATGCAGCCTGCCATATCAGTATCTAATGCCTAATCCCATAAATCTGCTTATTCTTGCATGCAGGTAAAGGTATACCCATTTATGTTGAACTTGATGGGTGTTTCAGTGTGAAATAAACAAGATTTGGACAATCATGGACATTTCTACAAGGGGGATTTGGGGCCCCTGAAAAGCTTTAATGCATAAAGCAAAGTTCACATAGGCTTCAGGCAGAACTGCGCAGTATTTAAGCTCTTTAAGATTTAACATGCCTTTAATCTTTTGTTGAACTAGCCTTAAGTTAGGATTATTTCTTTGCCTACTATCCCAATTTTGGTACTGGAAAATCACTTTACTGAGAAATAGGACAGGTTTTAGCCTTAGCATGCAGTTCAAGTTAACAGCTGGTGGTGTCCTATGCCTGCTTTATGCTATCCAGTACAGTACATCAGACAGTGCTCAAACTTCTTCATTTGTAGATCATAGTCTTGCCGTTAGGCAACATCAGCATCTAATTTTACCAAAAGAAAAACTCTATGTAGCGATATATGTAAAAAAAAAAATGGTTTAAAAGTAGCTAATCCTGAGCATGAATCACACCTAATTTCCCTGAACTCCTTTATCCTTAGTAAGGTTTGCAAACCCCATCTCCCCCGGGATTAAAGCAGCCCAAGATTAAGCAGTTGGGTTTATGTGCTTTGCTGGTATGTGACCAATGATAATCCAGATCACTGAGTAACAGAATATCTCAATTCAAAAGGGACCCATAACGATCACCAGCTCCAGCTCCTGACTCCACACAGGACCACCCGAAATTCGAACCCTGTGTCTGAGAGTGTGGTGCAAACAGTCTTTGAACTCTGGCAGCTCAGGGCAGTGACCGTGGCCCTGGGGAGCCCGTCCCAGCACCCAGCCACCCTCTGATGAAAGCCCTTTTCCTGATATCCAACCCGAACCTCTCCTGACACAGCCCCATGCCATTCCCTTGAATTGTATTGCTGTCATCATAAGGCAGAGATCAGAGCTGCTTTTCCATTCGCCTTGTGAGGAGCTGTAAGCTGCAGTGAGGTCTCCCATTATTCTTCTCCGGGCTGAACAAACCAAAGGATTTCAGTGGTTCCTGACATGTCTTCCCCTTAGAGCCTTCAACGTCTTCACAGCCCTCTTTTGGATGTTCTGTAATAGTTTTATGACCTTTTTGTACTGTGGTGCCCAAACCTGCACACAGAACTCAAGGTGAAGCTGCATAGCACAGCTTGGAGAGAGGAAATCACTTTCCTTGTCCAGCTAGCAAGGTTATGCTTGATACACCTCAGGACGCAGTTGGCCTTCCTGCCTGCCTGCTCATGCTGTTCATTCATTTTCAACTTCTTGTCAACCAAGACCCCCAAATGTTTTTCAGTAGAGCTGCTCTTCAGTCTCTTACCCTCCAACATGTAGCCAGGGTTACTTCTTCCCAGGAGCACAATATGGCCCTTGCTTCTTAAACTTCATGCAGTTGATGATTGCCCGGCACTCTAATTTGTCTTAGATCTCTCTGCAAGGTTCTGTGCACCCTTAATGTAGTCAGCAGCTCCCCCCAATTTCATATCATCATCAGACTTGCTCAGAACACCTTTTAGCCCTACATCCAAGTCACTTATGAAAACATTAAAGAGAACTGCCCCTAAACTGGAGTCCTGCAGAACCGTGATGGTCACCAGCCTGATGTAAGCCCATGTACTACAACATATTGGACCTCACCTATCAGCCAATTGTTCAGCCATCCCATTATGTTTTTGTCTACCTATGTGCTGGACATTTTGTCAAGAAGAATACTGTGAGGAACAGTACTGAAAACACACTGAAGTTCAAGATGTAAACTGGCTTCCTTTGGTCAATTAGATGGATGATCTTGCCATAAAATGGGATTAAATTAGCTAAGCAAGACCTCATCAACCCACAGTGGCTGTGACCAATGACTACAGTGTCCTTCATGTGTTTCTCAGTAACCCCCAACATAATTTTTTCCGTAACTTTACCAGATGCTGAAGTCAGATGCACAGGTCTGTAATTACCAGGTTCTTCTTTCTTGACTTTCTTGAAAATTGGAACAATGTTTGCCAGCTTCCAGTTAACTCGGGCCTCTCCAGATTCACAGAACCATTTAAAAATAATTGAGACAGGTCTCCCAGTGACATCAGCCAGCTCTTTGAGTACCCTAAGATGAGTTCCATTGCATCCCACGAATTACACGCGTCCAGGTGGAGCAGCAAATCCAGCAGAAGTTCTGGGCTGGCTGGCAGTTGGTTGCTACCATGGCTTGGAGCTGACAGAGCCCAGAATCAATGTTGAAGACAGAGGTGAAGAAGGCATTAAAAATCTCTGCTTTGTCCACGTCCCTGTTTGTAAGATGATCATTCTCATATCAAGTATCAAACCAGTGTTCTCTCTGGATTTCCTTTTGTTGTTAATGTATTTAAAAACAACAATAACAACAAGAAACTCTTTTTATTGTCCCTCCCAGTATTAGTCATCTTCAACTCTAACTGAGCTTTGGCTGAATGAATCCTTTCCCCACAAAAGCAAGTAGTCTTCCCATGTCTCCTGAACTTACTTCCAGTGTCCATGCACTTACTTTTTTTTCCCCAGATGTGCACAGCAGCAATAGCAACATGATAGCAATAGCTACAATTCTTGGCTATCCTGATTGTCCACAGCGTAATGTTGAAAGCAGTAAACGCAACACAGTTTTCAGTAATGACATTAAGAATCATGACAGGGGTTTTTCAAAGCAGTTTAAGGTAATTCTGTTGAACCCTAATCATTTTCCTGTTCTGAAAACGTCAAACTCAAACTGTGGGGTCGCACCACAGAAGAGAGTGTTCTATGCTGTGTCTGCATGTGCAAAACTTGCTTCCCTTATGGACACACAGCATGAAGACAGATTCGTTTCAGATGTCCACCTTGATCACAAACATTCATTTTCACCATTCTGAGACCTCGCTTTTGGACACAGAGTGGTTCCTATCAATTATCATCTTTGCAAATCCTTCAGAGTACATAGGAGTTGTGCCACGCTGAAAAGGAGTGAATCGTATTTGGCAGATGTGCAGGTGGCTGAACAAGGAAGCTGTATGTGGTTTAATACGAGGTTTCTTTGGGCTGCTAGATTTTTTTTCTTCTAGAGCTATGACTGTTGGATGAGTTTAACTGTTCTCTCTCTGGTAATTACTAACATTACTGAATTTTATTTATTATTTTTTTAGGAAGCACGGATGTTTGCCTGTACAGTTTACAAAGCTTCAGGTTGATATTTTCTTTGTATTTTTTTCCAAATCAACATTGTGTGAGGCAGAGAATTCTTCATAAGTAACTTTCAGTACTGATCCTTTATCCTCTCTGTTTAGCACATTATTGAGACTCACGGAAAGAGCTATCTGCAGCTCTTGTTCCATTTGCTCATTTCTACTATCACAATGGTTCTTCAATAGAATTGGTAACCTGTGCTATTTTCTCAGCCTCGTGTAGTAAATAATGGTACGTGCCTGAAGCTCATCAAAACAGCAAATAGGATGGCACGTAACACATCATCCTTTCAAAATTGCCACGGCAGGGAGGGATGGCAGTGCATCCATTACCTCTGTTATTTCTCACAATGAAAGCTTATTTTTTCTGCCTGCGGATGGCAAGGCAGCTACAGAAAAACCTGAGAGCTACACGAGGAAGTGTTCCTTCTGATGAAAATAGTTTCTTGTTGTCCAAAGAGTAACCTGCACCAGCTCGTTCATCGTGTTATTTCTGTATCTGTGCCTCTGTTCACACCCTTTCCTTTTTCCCCCTCTGGTCTAACTGGAGATTACCACTTTAAAGCCTGGTCTCACGGTTGCTACTCTACAAGAAATTTCTCTATAATTTAGCACCACAACAACTTAGATGCTTTTTTCACAGGCTTATCCTTACTTCATCCTTTTGAGATAAGGGTATATGGCTGCTTATGGAAAGGCAGTCATGAATTGCTGAAAGTGCTGAAAGTCAACTGGATCCCCTAAAGTTTTGCTTCTTCACATGGATCTCAGACACGTAAGTTTGCCTCCATGATTTTCTGTGACATGAGACTCAGAAAGCTGCCACACAGTAAATTCAATTGAAATCACCTGTGTGCACACACTTGCTTACTGAAAAAGTTGAGTGGTTGAGTGAGTGTGCATCAGCACATAGGTTGTTCCTGAGGATAATCTGACTCTACACAATCACATGACTGTCACTTTCCTACAGTCCTACAGTCACTTTCACATCTGCAAAGTTCCCTTACAGATTTTTGTCAGTAATTTTGTAAGAGGCTTAATGTGGGACTGAACAAAGAGATACAGCTGTACTTGACTGAATACTCAAAACTCTTTGCAACAAAAGGTCGAAAGTGCTTTTGCTTGTAGAGTTAAAATCCAGCGAGCAAAGCAGTGATGGCAGTAGCCGGTGAGCTGCGCACTGTTGAGATGAATAACATTGTCCTCTCTCTCCTAAACGAGTTAATACTAAGCATGGATTTATACTTGTTTTATTCCTCTTGTGATAAATAAAAACAACACCTTTTTCTAACAGGTGTAATTGCATCTTGGTTAATGTGTGAGCTACATCCTCAATGAGTGCGTGTAGGCAAGTGTTGATTTATTTTGGCTGCTTGGAATAACTGACACTTATGACTCTAACCTAATTTAATCTCTTTGCCTCTGGAATGCTGGTATCTGAAAGCAAACCAAGTGATTTTTTAGAGCTGACACTACTGCAGGTTTCTGTTTTGTTAGTTTGCAATATTTGCAATAACTACAACTTTGTCCAAATTCTGTTGGATGTAATGCATTGCATAACATGCCATAAAGCCTGTTGACTAATGTGAGCTACAGGGACTACAGATCTATTGCTGTTTCACTGCAAAAAGAGTGTAAGTGCAGCTTATTTTTGAGAGGAGAACAGAAATCTCAGAATATCAGAATCCCATACGTTTCAGTTTTTCGGTTGAAATAGAGAAATTAGTGCTTCTGTTGTGCCAATAAAAATATATATGACAAAGCATCTTTCCTAGAGAAAAAGTATGTAAGAGAAGAGATGTTTCTCTTCCAAACAAAGGACAGAGGGCTGCGATCAGCTCGTGTCTGAAATGCATGTGATTTGGTTCTTGGGCTGAATAACCAATAATCATTTTTAAAGAAAATATGAATAGAAGTGTGTAGAAATTCTTGAAAAGTAAGGATGTGCACATTGTTAGAAAAGATCACATTTTTCTTCCTTGGGACTGAGTTTCGGTAAACTTGTTCAAATTCTATAAACTAGTGGTAAGAACAGACAAGATTTCTACAGGAAAATAAAACCTGAATAATATGCCCAATTTGGGCTTAACAGAAACAGAGGAGTGTG